TCCCACAGGTGCCTGGCAAGAGCTGTCTGTGTCCCCCAAAAGCATGAGCACTGCCTGGGGGAGAGTTGGGTCAGCCCTCATTTCTCACTAGTGGGCAGTCACCCTGGCTGTGGACGGATTGGATGATGCCAACAAAGGACGGTGCCAGGAACCAGCCCCCCACCTCAGTTCCCTCTCTGCCCTGAGCATCGCCTTGGCTCCAGGGCTCTTACCGGGCGGCGGCCTCCAGGGCCCGCGAGAAGGAGGCGTAGTCGTCGGCCGAGTGCTCCAGGGAGTAGTACCAGGTGGCGGCGGCCCGCACGCCCTCGGTGGCGTCCTCGCCGCCCAGTGAGTTCTGCAGCGCCCGGTAAAAGGCTGTTTTGCTACTGGTCCGGCCTTGACTTTCCTCAAATTGCTTTTAAAAAGAAAGAGAGATGAAAATTCTCCAGTCAGATTCTGAAAGCCTTGACTCAACATTCCTCAGAGCCTCAGTCTAGAATGTTCTCTCTGGGAAACGGTGGGACATGGCTTTAAGCTCATGGGTGCTGGACTCAGGCTGCTTGGGTTCGGGTTTGGATGCCAGCTCTGCCCGCTCCAGCTGCGTGATCTTGAGCAAGGGCTGTGCGGCGCCCCCGGGGGCCCTGGGGAGGACCGCAGGGCGGCCGCGGAGCCGTCAGGTGGCGCCTGAATGAGCCTCCCTCAGGGCGCGCGGGCCACACACCCGTGCCGCTCACTCTACCTGCTGCCCTTGTGTCGCCTGCTTTTGTGGGGAGACCTAACTTCAGGCTCCGTCACTGACTCGGTCACTCAGCACAGGGCCGCTTTCTGTACACGTCACAGTGACAAACACTCTTCATCCAGGGCCAGCTGTGTGCCGGGCCTCCGAAAACAGCCATGAACATGGCAATCAAGCGCCCCGATTAGGCTCCCGCGGCCTAGCTCGCCAGTGGGCGCAGATGGAAGACACGCAAAGAATTGTGCCGTTCAGCGGGGGCGGGGCTGTGACGAGAAACCGAGCAGGGTGACAGGGACAGGGCAGGGTCACTAAGTGTAGGACGATCAGGAAGACACTCCGCTCTCTGGGAATGCGTCGCTACAAGGAAATACCTTTATCTCTCCCTCCCTCCCCCCTCCCTTTTTCCTTTCTTCCTTTCTTCCCTCCTTCCTTCCTTCCTTCCTTCCTTCCTTCCTTCCTTCCTTCCTTCCTTCCTTCCTTCCT